AAAAAAAAAAAAAGACCTTAATGTTCTACTAGTGATTCTTATTTGCTGGCTGCATGTTTAAAGTTCACCTGTATATTAACTCAACCTGTAGATACTGTGTTTATTTCTTACTGGAGAGATGTTACATATAAACAAAGCTGGACCATCTCAGAGGGGGAGCAAAAAATCCCTTCCTCCCGTTCTTTCCTTCCTCCTTCTTTTTCCCCTTCATCTATTCATCCAAAACTATTCCATAAATACCAAAGTACCCTGCTAGACTCTGGAAATATGGTTGCAAAAGAAAAAAAGACACAGATCCCTATTGCTTCCAGACGTCAAGGTCTGGTTAGGAAGGGAAAAGTATGTAGATGGTCATGCTTCACTTAGTGTCTGACTCTTTTTGACCCCATGGACTGTAGCCCGCCAGGCTCCTCTGTTCATGGGGATTCTCTAGGCAAGAATACTGGAGTGGGTATCCTATCACTTCTCCAGGGGATCTTCCCGACCCAGGAATTGACCTGGGAGTCTCCTGCTGTACCAGCTGAGGTACCACACAGATCTATGTGAGGAAGCCCCACATAGATGGCTGGCTATTAATTTTAAGTCTTCTAAACCTTAAACCAGAATTCTGCAGGTATCACTGACTCCCCTATTTACCCTCTTCCTTGGTTTTCCCTTCCTAACAATGCCTCACTTGATACACGGAATATTTTGAAGATTGTACATGTCTTCTATCATACTGTACCATATGTTATCTAGACACTGACATTTTATCTGCTCTACTTATTCCATGTGGGTTAGCTGCTCAGTCGTGTCTGACTCTTGTGACCCCAGGACTGTAGCCCACCAGTCTCCTCTGTCCATGGAATTCTCCAGGCAAGAATTTTGGAGTGGGTTGCCATTTCCTTCTCCAGGGGATCTTCCCGACCTAGAGATCAAATCTGGGTCTCCTACATTGCAAGCATATTCTTTACTAAATGAGCCACGAGGGAAGCAAACTTATTTCATAGATATAAATAAAATCTTTGCTAATAGCTATAGAATAGAAGTTGGAAAAAAATACATATTGGGTCTAAACAAGCTGGGATTCAGGGGAGACTAGAGTTATACTTTTATTTTATTTTATTTATTTTTATTAGTTGGAGGCTAATTACTTTACAATATTGTAGTGGTTTTTGCCATACATTGACATGAATCAGCCATGGATTTACATGTGTTCCCCATCCCGATCCCCCCTCCCACCTCCCTCTCCACCCGATCCCTCTGGGTCTTAGTGCACCAGCCCTGAGCACTTGTCTCATGCATCCAACCTGGGCTGGTGATCTGTTTCACCCTTGTTTCAATGCTATTCTCTCAGATCATCCCACCCTTGCCTTCTCCCACAGAGTCCAAAAGTCTGTTCTATACATCTGTGTCTCTTTCTCTGTCCTGCATATAGGGTTATCGTTACCATCTTTTAAAATTCCATATATATGCGTTAGTATACTGTATTGGTCTTTATCTTTCTGGCTTACTTCACTCTGTATAATGGGCTCCAGTTTCATCCACCTCATTAGAACTGATTCAAATGTATTCTCTTTAATGGCTGAGTAATATTCCATTGTGTATATGTACCATAGCTTCCTTATCCATTCGTCCGCTGGTGGACATCTAGGTTGCTTCCATGTCCTGGCTATTATAAACAGTGCTGCGATGAACATTGGGGTACATGTGTCTCTTTCAGATCTGGTTTCCTCGGTGTGTATGCCCAGGAGTGGGATTGCTGGGTCATATGGCAGTTCTATTTCCAGTTTTTTAAGGAATCTCCACACTGTTCTCCATAGCAGCTGTACTAGTATGCATTCCCACCAACAGTGTAAGAGGGTTCCCTTTTCTCCACACCCTCTCCAGCATTTATTGCTTGTAGACTTTTGGATTGCAGCCATTCTGACTGGTGTGTAGTGGTACCTCATTGTGGTTTTGATTTGCATTTCTCTGATAATGAGTGATGTTGAGCATCTTTTCATGTGTTTGTTAGGCATCTATATTTCTTCTTTGGAGAAATGTCTGTTTAGTTCTTTGGCTCATTTTTTGATTGGGTCATTTATTTTTCTGGAATTGAGCTGCAGGAATTACTTGTATATTTTTGAGATCAATCCTTTGTCTGTTTCTTCATTTGCTATTATTTGCTCCCATTTTGAAGGCTGTCTTTTCACTTTGCTTATAGTTTACTTTGTTGTGCAAAAGCTTTTAAGCTTAATTAGGTCCCATTTGTTTATTTTTGCTTTTATTTCCAATATTCTGGGAGGTAAGTCATAGAGGATCTTGCTGTGATTTATGTCGGAGAGTGTTTTGCCTATGTTCTTCTCTAGGAGTTTTATAGTTTCTGGTCTTACATTTAGATCTTTAATCCATTTTGAGTTTATTTTTGTGTATAGTGTTAGAAAGTGTTCTAGTTTCATTCTTTTACAAGTGATTGACCAGTTTTCCCAGCATCACTTGTTAAAGAGGTTGTCTTTTTTCCATTGTATACTCCTGCCTCCTTTGTCAAAGATAAGGTGTCCATAGGTATGTGGATTTATCTATGGGCTTTCTATTTTGTTCCATTGATCTATATTTCTGTCTTTGTGCCAGTACCATACTGTCTTGATGACTGTGGCTTTGTAGTAGAGCCTGAAGTCAGGCAGGTTGATTCCTCCAATTCCATTCTTCTTTCTCAAGAGTGCTTTAGCTTTTTGAGGTTTTTTTGTATTTCCATACAAATTGTGAAATTATTTGTTCTAGTTCTGTGAAGAATACAGAATAGCTTGATAGGGATTGCATTGAATCTATAGATTGCTTTGGTTAGTATACTCATTTTCACAATATTGATTCTTCCAATCCATGAACACGGTATATTTCTCCATCTGTTTGTGTCCTCTTTGATTTCTTTCATCAGTGTTTAATAGTTTTCTATGTATAGGTCTTTTGTTTCTTTAGGTAGACATACACCTAAGTATTTTATTATTTTTGTTGCAATGGTGAATGGTATTGTTTCCTTAATTTCTTTCTGTTTTCTCATTGTTAGTGTATAGGAATGCAAGGGATTTCTGTGTTAATTTTATATCCTGCAACTTTACTATATTCATTGATTAGCTCTAGTAATTTTCTGGTTGAGCCTTTAGGGTTTTCTATGTAGAGGATCATGTCGTCTGCAAACAGAATTCAAAAGCTTTACAGACAAGCAAAAGCTGAGAGAATTCAGCACCACCAAACCAGCTCTTCAACAAATGCTGAAGGATCTTCTCTAGACAGGAAACACAGGAAGGTATGAACGTGAACCCAAAACAACAAAGCAAATGGCAACGGGACCATACTTATCAATAACTACCTTAAACGTAAATGGGTTGAATGTCCCAATCAAAAGACAAAGACTGGCTGAATGGATACAAAAGCAAGACCCCTATATATGCTGTCTACAAGAGACCCACCTCAAAACGAGGGACACATACAGACTGAAAGTGAAGGGCTGGAAAAAAATTTTTCTTGCAAATGGAGACAAAAAGAAAGCAGGAGTCGCAATACTCATATCAGATAAAATAGACTTTAAAATAAAGGCTGTGAAAAGAGACAAAGAAGAACACTACATAATGATCAAGGGGTTCAATCCAAGAAGAAGATATAACAATTATAAATATATATGCACCCAACATAGGAGCACCGCAATATGTAAGGCAATTGCTAACAAGTATGAAAGGGGAAATTAACAATAACACAATAATAGTGGGTGACTTTAATACCCCACTCACACCTATGGATAGATCAACTAAACAGAAAATTAACAAGGAAACACAAACTTTAAATGACACAATGGATCAGCTAGACATAATTGATATCTATAGGACATTTCACCCCAAAACAATCAATTTCACAGTGCACACAGAACCTTCTCCAGAATAGATCACATCCTGGGCCATAAATCTAGCCTTGGTAAATTCAAAAAAATCAAAACCATTCCAGTCATCCTTTCTGACCACAATGCAGTAGGATTAGATCTCAATTACAAGAAAAAAACTATTAAAAATTCAAACATATGGAGGCTAAATAACACGCTTCTGAATAACCAACAAATCATAGAAGAAATCAAAAAAGAAGTCAAAATACGCATAGAAACTAATGAAAATGAAAACACAACAACCCAAAACCTATGGGACACTGTAAAAGCAGTGCTAAGGGGAAGGTTCATAGCAATACAGGCTTACCTCATGAAACAAGAAAAAAGTCAAATAAATAACCTAACTCTACACCTAAAGCAACTAGAGAAGGTAGAGCTATACTTTTAAAACTTAGTGGGTCTGAGAGGAGATGGAGTACAGGCCCGGGAAACGGCCAAGTTCCCATCTGGATGCTCATTTCTGTGGCGGGGAGCAGGGAGGGGCTTGCATGGTGACAAGATCAGTTTCCCCCATCTGCATCACACATTATCACAGTGGAGTTTTTTTCTTACAGTAATAAAAGTTGTGAATTTCCACATTATCTATACATATTCAAAATACATTCTTAATACATTTTAAATCCTGACAAATTAATTCTGGATCATCCCTTTTAGTAAACCTAAAATTTTAAATCTGTACTTATAATAACTGTACACAGGTGATGCAATGGTAAAGAATAGGTAAAAAGTAGGAAATGTCAATGAACTCCAATATTCTTACCTGGAAAATTCCATGGACAGAGGAGCCTGGTGAGCTACAGTCTATGGGGTCGCCAAGAGTCAGACACAACTGACCACTCATGCGTTATACAACATATATGGCTGGGCTGCAGGGGATCTGTGATTATCCCTGAATTATAATCCCTGAAATTATATGTAAAACTATGTGCACATGTATATTTTTCTAGAGAGGGTCTGTAGCTTTTATCAAATTCAAATCTGTGACACTAAAATTTGACCCCATAAAAAATAATTAAAAATTGAAAAGCTAAACTCTTTAACAAGGACTTTTTCCGCTCAAAGATTAGAGCTTTTAGCATAAGTTCTGACATAAATATATTGCACTTACATCAAGAGCCACAGACTGCTTGGCCCATGACTTCTTCACTTGATCATACATAATTGTATTGTTGATGCCAAGGCCACAAAAGATGACAAAAGCCTAGGAAAGAGAGAGTTCACTAATTAAAAATTGCAATAACTCATTGGCATAATCTAATATAAAAGTAGACAGGCATCAGGAATGGGCCTGAAAATATAATTTTATTGTACACAGAGGTAGGCCTTAGGGAAATATGTACAATAAAATTCTTAATTACTATTGTCATGTAACAGCTTTATCGCTCACACTGCACAAGAGAAAAATTATTAATTTAATGTTATTGTGAAGAAATAACTTTATACATTTAGAAACATATAGTCCATTTAAACGCGTTCTTACTTTATTTAGGTTGTGAACTGATTTTGGTCATTTCATTCCATTTAACCAAAAGCAACCTCTTTCAAAAGCTAGGGTATAAATGAGTTTGGTAAAGAAACCAAGTGATTGTATCCATAAGGTAAATGTTAAGGGGACGGAGGAGGATTCAGATTTTGAAACAGTTAGTAAAGAAGCTCTGACATATTCTCAGCTAGAGAAAAATAATCATGGGGTTTTCATGTTGGCTCCTGGTGCAGTCTACCAGGAAGCCTGGTCAAGGCTAGCCTCTCCAGCTGAGGGCAGATGGGAGTAAATAAATGGAAGCCTGGTAACAGAAGACAGGGGATGGCAGTGCACCTGGCAGAGCTGATTAGAGGCCTCAAGGCTGAACACACACAAACAAGAAAAAGATAAGACAATTTACACTTCAGAGAGAAGAAGAAGGCAATTCAGTTCCATAAAAAGCAATCAATTAGGATAAAAACAAAACCTGATTCATGAAAAAGAGAATCAAATCTTACCTAAACAAGGATACATTCTTTAAATCTTCCTTTAAATTTCATCATGCTGTCAAAGTATAATGATTAAAAATTATCCATTAATAATTATTTATCCTTCCTGGTGTGGGCAAGCTATAACCAGGAGACTACTACTGACTCAGCTATAACCCCTGGTTCAGACATTTATTTTCTTACCTCGAAAAGTCGTTGATCATCATCATCGAAAGGTTTTCCATCGAGTCTATTTAACACTTGAGCCACTCCTGTGAGAAGAGGTTGGGAGATGTGGTCATTTTTGACACTGGACATCGTGTTCCTACAGTACAGTAAGATGACTCTGAAAATGAAGTCGCTCAGTTGTGTCCAACTCTTTGCGACCCCATGGACTGTAGCCTACCAGTCTCCTCCGTCCTTGGGATTTTCCAGGCAAGAGTACTGGAGTGGGTTGCCGTTTCCTTCTCAAGATGACTCTAGCCTCCTTTAAGTGCAGACACTCAGCTTAATCCCAGGTTGCTCTAACACCTGCTGCCTCTGTGAGAGCAGATATGAGATGTACAGGGATGCAGTCCATCTTCCATCTCTGATATCCAGACCATGTCTCACTGAAGCCTGGAGTTCTACCAGGTATTAACCAGATTCCCAAAAAATGGTTTTCAAGATGACTGTGTACAATAATTGATATATCATGGTGTACACATATATACATATATATGCATGTGTGTGTGTGTGTGCTCAGTTGTGTCCGACTCTTTGTGGCCCCATGGACTGTAGCCTGCCAGACTCCTTTGTCTGTGGAATTTTCCAGGCAAGAATACTGGAGTGAGTTGCCATTTCCTTCTCCAGGGGACCTTCCTGACTCAGGGATCAAACCCACATCTCTTGTACTTCCTGCATTGGCAGGCAGATTCTTTACCACTGTACCTCCTGGGAAGCCATATATAATTATATAAATATACAAGTTTAAAAAATATATAATTAAAATGTTTTCAGTTTTCTGAAGCATAGTGCTTGAATGAGGCAGCATGGCATAGTGATTAAGAACATAGGCTCTGGAGCTAAACAGCCTTGGTTTGAATTTCAACTCCATTGTTAGTAGTGTTACTGTGAGCACATTACCTAACTTCACACTGAATTTCTTCATTGGTAAAATGAGGATTAAAATGTTAACTATCTCAGTGGGTTATGAAGATTAAACAAAATAACATTTGAATAATGTTTGTAAAGCATATTGCTCCACATGGAAAGAACATTCAAGAAATGTTAAGAATTATGATACAGTTAACCTTCAAAGGAAGACTAGTTTTGTTGCCCGCTACCAATGGGACTAAACAATACAAAATTTAACTTATGTGGGTCTTCTTTCCAAAGTTCATGTCCAGAATTATACTAGATGTTTTGGGCATGACCCAGGGATCATGGTACTATCAAAGAAAACAAGTTTAACTAGAAAAATTCAACAATCTTGAAAACATTCCCTTGTGTTCCTTGTGTATACACACACACACACACACACACACACACACACACACAACTGTAATTCTAAATGCTTTTATTTTTTAAAAACACCTGACTTCCCATCAGGGAGTGATGCCATCATATGGTAGAAGACATGTATAATAAAATACAAAGCTTTTAGTGTGTAACAGGCAAACTACAGTCTTAGCTGTGAAAGAAAATAGATGTTTACACTTAAGAATGAAATGTAAGACTGCATGTGAGATTGCAGTTGGACATCTACAGATAATGTAAGCTGTTTCTCATGGACTTTCTCTTCTCATTAAATATATTCTGGGACTTCCCAAGGTGGTCCAGTGGTTAGGATTCCATGCTTCCACTGCAGAGGGAAGGGGTTCCCTCATATGGGAACTAAGATCCAGCATGCTACAGCACAACCAAAATAAACAAGAAAACCTTAAATATATTTAAAACTTGACACATGATGTAATTTAATGCTTTGCTGTAGAGATTAAAATTCTCAAATCTTAGAATATACTTTATGTTAAAAAATACTAATATTTTCTGCAAATTTAGAAAACTGATGAAAAAATTCTCTTAGAATTCAAGTGTTAATATTTATAGAAAACTAAATCCTTTGGTAAGTCCAATATCTTAGAGTTTAAGAGGCAGCCTTAGGGTGAAGCAAAGAGAGATAAATTTATATTAGTTCCCAAATGTATTAGTTACCTTATGTCTGTTAGAAGAAACACACATTTTCATTATGTTTAAACAACTACTGTCTTCCCACTTCTTGACTTTAACTACTGACCCCTTCTTGCTTAACTTTAGGTTTGAGATTTTCCTGAATGAATTTTCGAGGGAAAGGAAAGGAGCAGGGAGAGAGAGAAAAATTGGAAACTGCTCTGGCCCACAATTTCCATATTCAGGGGAAAGGGTAACCTATCTTGGAACCATTGAGGCAGAAAGACACATTTCAGTCTATGTCTAACAATGCTTCCTTTGCATTTATCCCATGTGTAAAAACATATAGATGTACTAGGATTAAGAAGCCTGAGTTTTATTTGGGATTCTGCTAATAACTCACTTTGTGACATTATTCAAATATTTTCTCTCTGGGACTCAATTTCCACAGAGTAAGATAAAAGAGTTCAGTTAGCTGCTTTCTGAAATCCCTACCAACTTCAAAATGATTGGTTCTTATTTAAAGGAATAAATATTTGTGCATTGTCTTGCTTAATGTTGATTCATCAGGAGTCTTCACTTGTGAAGAAAAAACATAAGTTGATGAGTCCTGGACATGAAAAGGGGTACATTCAAAAAAACTATAGATATACTTTAAAGTAAATTGCATTTTTGTTTTAACAAAAGAAGTTTGATAATCTAGGTAATGTCTTACCAATTATTTGGTGGTTGCTGTTCCAAATAGGGACGCAGAGAACCGATCTTATGTGAAAACCAGATATCTGGTCAGCCTAGGACATATGAAAGTAATTAATTAAAATTAAACATTATCTACCCATTTCTGACATGTGGCTTACCACTCTTCATAACAGGCATTTAAAAGTAACTTTTAAAAAGACATAATTTTAATGCATATACTTGCCTGTCTCTTTTCCAGTTAAAACATCACAATGTACATCCCAAAGAAATCAAGCCATAGCATTATTTATGCTAATGATGTACTGGATACAGCCTGAACATTACACTGGAGGAAGCTGATTAAGTAAATCACATCACAGTGGAATATTATCCATCTAATTAAAATCATGCTGTAGAAGAATATATATAAACAGGGAAACATTTAATATATTAAGTGCTACTGGTCTTAGTGCCTGTGGGTGTATAAGTACATATTATGCACATTGGAAAATCCTGGAAAAATTATAAGCTTAATAGTTCCCCTTGAATTGTTTGTCTACAGAAGTGTTTGTTTCTTTGCTTTTAAAATAGGCTTTATTTGTAAAAAAAAAAAAAAAATAGGTTCATAACTAATGAGACCAAATACAGAGTTCCCAAATACCTTCCACTACCACATATACACAGAGTGACACATCTCTCACTATCAACATCACTCACCAGAGTGGTACGTTTGTTGCAACTGATGAACCCACACTGATTCATCATTATTATTCAAGTTCCATAATTTACATTAGGGTTCACGATTGATGCTGTACATTCTATGTTTTAACAACTTTATAATGTCACTTATCTACCATTATAGGATCATACAGTGTAACTTCACTGCCCTAAAAGTCCTCTGTATGCCACCTAGTCATTTACCCATCCCTCTGGCAATCACTGATCCTTTTTCCTTCTAGCTCTATTGAGGTATAATTGACAAAACTGTAACTTATTTAAAGTGTACAACATGATGATTTGATATATGTATATGCCGTGAAAGAACTCTGCCTATGGGAGTTTTTTTTAACTACTGTTTCTATATTCTAAATTTTAGATAATGAATTACCTGTATACAAGAGAAATAGTTATTTTCTAAATAGAGCTAAAGGGGAACAATGGTGTCCAATGGTGCAGAACAGTCAAATAGGATAAGTGCTGAAAATGGGCTACTGGCTTTAGCAACACAGAAGGATAGCTGATGGCAAATACAGTCAAGGGAAGAAGGAGTGGGATCAGGAACAGAAGTTAAGCGGTGAGTTCTGGAGGCGAGGAAGGCCACGCTGAGTGAGCAGAGCTAGAGTCCCGCGTGGGCTGAGCCCAGGAGGTGGGGAGAGGTGACTGAGAACGCTGAGAATGTTTCCAGTCTTTCCCACCGTGGCTGAAGGAGAGAAGTGGGACAGCACTCACTGGCTATGAGAGCAGAGGAGAAGGGGTGGTGACGATGTGCTGGCTGATGAGCCCGACAAGACGGGAGAGGGGAAGGAGAAAGGATGACAGAGTGCGACGAGAGTGAGTTTTCTGATTCTAAGATCATTAAAGCAATTCTCTGGTTGTCTGTTTGTGGCTATGGCCACTGTTTCTGGAAGGTTAAGCTAATTTAGGTTAGGTTATATGACTACAGCTCCGGGAGTTGGAAATGGGCAGGGAACCCTGGCGTGCTGCAGTCCATGGGGTCGCAAAGAGTCGGACATGACTAAGCGACTGAACTGAACTGAACTGATATGACTACATGAGATGGGAAGGCCTCGGAGTGCCTGGTGATCCCTCGTAGGGATTGCAAGAGAAGGAGATGGGAGATGAAGCCCTCACAGAGGCAAGGACCTTGAAAAATGAATGCCGAACAGTGTAAGGAGGAAGAAGAAAGAATGGAGGAATCATCTCTGTGCATCAGGTAACCCAAGTCTGCAGATCGCGTCAGTCAATGAGCTCAAAAATATCTGTTGGCCTCTCAGTCCCGACCAAGTCCCCAGAACTCGTCATGCCTCAATTTTCTCATCAATGTTTACCTTTTGCACACCAAACTATTAACACTAGTTATCTCCAGATGTTGGCATTAGAGCACCTTCTCATCATTTCTTCATTCTGCTTTTTCTTATTTTCCAGGTCTTTTTATAAGAATATGTGTGTGAAAGGGCTTCAAACTGTGTAAGATGTTTTGTCATCAAAACAATATTATTAGTCAATATTACTAGTGTTGAAAGAAAACACCTTTACAGAAATATTTGCTCCATTGTTCCACAGGGTCCCTGCTCCATCATTCTGAGATTAAAATCTACACCATTAGAATCTCAAATGTTAGGCCATGTGAGACTAAGTAGCCTTTCCAGGAGGCTAGCATTAAAATAAATATATTATCTAGGGATGCCTAGTTCTTTCCAATTAAAGATGTATATACCAAAATTTTTGCTTAGTCTCTGTCCTCACTGGGTCTTTCCAGTTAATGGATATAATTTAAGACTGTTTACCTCATGGAGCCATCAAAATATAGTCATATTTTCCAGACTCTCAAAGGCATTCAAAGGCACTCAAAGGCAATATTAAAAGAATTGGTGATAACATAATATTATTCATTACTGTATAATGTGTTTTCTTTCCCTAGAACGATATGTGCAACTTTAACAGTAATCTAAGGTAATATTTTACCCCTCAAATGCCAATCTACCAGTGGGAAATTCTGGCTCTAAGAGAACTGAGGGAGATGTTCTGAGTCTGTCCCCTGACTTCTCTGGAACAAAGGGACATTTCTTTACACCAACCTCATCTGCATGTAGGCTTCTAGAACACTGCCAACAAATGATTCCTTAAATTTCTGGCAAAAGCACTCCTCAAAAATAGCCAACATTTGGGCTTAAAGCAGAGGCATCATATCTACCACTGATGCAGCAAAGTCTGTTTGACTTAGAACTATGGGACCCCATACTTACAACTTCCCCATTGGATACCTTATTGAAGTCTCAGTAATCCTGCTGACTCTGCTTGTCCTCCTAGTCATCTGGAAATCCAGTATCCATTATCCAGTCTTCCCTACCAAACCCTACTCTCTGGAAAGGCTCTCGAACTGGTTTACACTAAGTATCAGTGACTGAGAGATTACTGGGAGCAAATACACGTTGGCAGATTCACAGAGCCCTGTCTCTTAATGCTTCCATTTTTGCACATTTCCTTTTGTAACAGAAGCATAACTGATAGACCAGAAGGCGTCATAAAGAATGAAAAAGGAGCTGTCCTGCCGGGCTAGCACTCAGCACCCCAGATTGCAGCAGTGCTTTGCTGTGAAGATCTGGCAGCTGAAAGGAGCTTTAATGCTCTAAGTCAAAAGATCTCAGAGCCTGAAGCCCCATTATCCTTAAGTGCTACATAGCAAGGGGAAGAACTATTGACTTGTCTATAACAGGCTATAATACAAAAAAAAAAAAAAGAAAGAACTTTACAGGGAAGAACTGCATGAGACTGAAGAGTGACAGACTTAATATCCTGACACCTCAGATTTAACTGAGTAACTCTGGAGATCAATTCCCCATGGCAGAGGAGAGCTGGGTGCTGATGGATTTTCCCCCACTCCTGACTCTGTAACACACAGACCACCAAACCATCCATGCAGAAGACTTGCCCTACTTCTTAGTTACTTTCTGCCATTCCCCTTGCTGAATGCTTTTCTTGTTTAAATGTTGGGTACAATTGTTCATTTTTGTTGCAGGCAGAAAACAAATTCTTCATGAAATGGCTCAGAAAACTCTTTATCCATAACTATACAAATGGAGGGAAATATTAAATTAAGCAAAGAGTAGTATACCTTATATTGACTAAATAATAGCTGGCTGTGCATTAGTGTGCTTGTTTTAAGGTGTTCTTTTGATCTAGTATGAAAAAAAGGGCAGAAAGCTGCACAGATGATGTGCTAAAGTGCAACTAATTATTGGGAGTTGACTTCGCAAGCACAATGCCTTCTAAAGGCAAGGCCAGAATAAATGTTTCATGGTGAAGGTATTTATAAATACAGAATGTGTTTCAAGAAGCCACCTGATACAAGGGCAGGTCATCTGCAAATGGTTTGTATACATGCTGCTGGGACAGCCTCAGACAAGGATCTTAGAATAAAATCCAACCAAAACTCTGTAATACAGAATGTGTTTCAAGAAGCCACCTGATACAAGGGCAGGTCATCTGCAAATGGTTTGTATACATGCTGCTGGGACAGCCTCAGACAAGGATCTTAGAATAAAATCCAACCAAAACTCTGTGCTGGCAAGGGCAATGAAAAATAATGCCTCAAAAAAAAAAAAAAAGAAAAATAATGCCTCAAAGATACAGCAAGGCAAGTTAGTGTACTTGGATGTTGCATTATCTAAATTCTGGTTTTGAGTGGCAGTTTATAGTTTTTAGAAGGCTCACAATAGCCTGATAAAATATAATTTCACTAAAGATATAAAAGGTCTAATGCTTTTAAACATCTTTATAATTTTGCATGATTATAAAAATAATATATATATTTGTGAAAATTTTAAGTTAAAATCAAAAGCTATAATCTTGCCATCTCAAGAAATGGCAACTATTAACCATTTGGGATAAGTTCTTCTGGATCTTTTCCTGAAAATATCTAATATGTTACATATATATTTATAACATATTCAATAATACATAATTATTAATAAATAACAAATAATATGTTTAACAATACTGAACAATATTCAACAATAATGCCTGTTAGCTTTTAGGGATACATCAGTGAGTAAAACCAACAAAATTCTTACCTTTACTGAGCTCACATTCTAGTGAGCGAAGACAGATGGTAAACAATACAAAAAATATATAAATAAATCATATGTGAGAAGGTATTAAAATTATGGGGAAAAAGTAGAGCAGGATAAAAGGGATTAGAAACACAAGGGTGCCAGACCTTACTAACAGATAATATTTGAATAATGGCCATAAGAATAGGCTTTGACCCATGCAGATATTGAAGGAAGAGTATTTTGGCAGAGGAGTAGTCAGTACAAAAATCCTGAGAGAGTGGCATGTTCTAGGAATAACCAGGAGACCAGTGTGGCTGGAGAAGTGTGAATGAGGTCTG